AGGCACTGAGGATGGGCACCAAGCTGTGCCCTGGCTCCCACGCTGCCTTCTGCCAAGAGCAGACCCCCCAGAGCACTGTCCCCAGCTCCCAGGCATGCCCTCTGTGGCTTTTCAAGGGTCTGAACCCAGTGGGGAGTCCATCAGTGCACACCCCGTCCCGTCTCGTACACATCTTTTTTTTTTTTTTTTTTTTGGAGAGGTTTTTGCTATAGGGTGCGTGCGCGCGCCAGACAGACAGACAGACCCCCCAGAGGGGAGGGTCACGCCGCAATCCCTTCTCCTTCATTCTCCTCTCGGGATCTTGGGCACGCACGCACACGCGCCCGGCGTGAGTTTTAAGCCACCGGGTCCGGGACGCAAACCGCGGTTGGCTACGTGGGAGTCCAGCAACATAGTCATTACGCTAACTGCTGGTTCCCATCCGTCTCGTACACTTCTGAAGCTTTCTGTTTGTGTTTTTGTTTTCTTTTAAGAATTATTTTACTTTATTTCAATTTGACCAGAGAGAGCAAGAGAGAGAAAAAGAGGGAAAGTGAGAAAGCCAGCCACGAGGTCCAGGACTCGAACCGCAGTTGGCCGTGTGGGAGCCCAGTGCCCTGAACCACCACGCCACATTCTGGTCCCTTTATTAAAAAAAAAAAAAAAAAAAGTTTAATTCCATTGGTTGTAATTTTTTAATTTGACCAGAGACAGACAAAGGGAAAGGGAGGGACCAGCAGGTAGCGTAATGGTTATGTCGCTGGTCCCATGTAGTACTGCTACGGTTCGAGTCCTAGACCGACCCAGTGGCTTAAACTCATGCCGGGTGCATGTGCGTGTGTGCCCAAGATCCTGAGAGGAGAAGGGATTGCAGTGTGGCCATCTCCTCTGGGGGATATTTCTTGCATTCTGTCTCTCTCTGTCCTGGCGAGCGCATAAGCCCTATAGCAAAAACCTCTCCAAAAAAAGAAAAGAATTAAAATTTTATTTATAGGAGAGAGAGAGTGAGAAAGCCAGCCACGAGGTTCAGGACTTGAATCGTGGTCAGCCATGTGGGAGTCCAGCAACTTAAACATTTACCATCTTTTTAAAAATATATATTTTATTTAACTTTATTTATTTTAATTTGACCAGAGAGGGACAGAGTGAGAGAGAGAGAAAGTGAGAAAGCAAGCCGCCGGGTCTGGGGCTCAAACCAGAGTTGGCTATCTGGGAGTCCAATGCCTTAACCACTGTGCCCTGGCCAGGCCCTTTTACTGTTTTTTTGTTTTGTTTTGTTTTGTTTTGCCAGAAAGTGTGCTCCCTGGGGAGAAGGGAGAAGGTGGCCCGCAGTGAGCATGGCCACGCCACAAGTCCCTGGCCTCCAGCCTCCACCCGCCATGGCTGGGCACGCACACACATGTCCCCGTGTGCTTTCAAGCTGCTGGGGTGTGGGACTCGATCGCACGTCAGCCACACGGGGTCCTGCTTCCTTAACCGCTGATCCCCAGCCACAGATGGGCCCTCTACGTCCCCTTTCCGTGCTCGGACTGTCTTATTTTGGCTGGGGACTCCTGAAATGTCTCTGGACCCATGGGCCTGCCCCGACGACTTCCTGAGCGCGTCCTCCTCCCCTGCCTGGGCCACCACACCGCTAGCACCCATGGCATCGTCCCTTCAAGGAGCCTGCCGCGGTCTGGTCTCAGCAGCAAGCCCCAGGGCCCTGAGCCAGCCGGGTTCTCCTTGGCGGACCTTGCCGGTGGGACGGCAGCACAAGACTGCCAGCTCTGTGAGGTCCACATGGGGCAGTTCGGCGCCCCAGAGGCCTCCTGAGGGCACCGGGCAGGTGTGTCCCTGTGCCTTGGGGCCAGTGGGGGCTGGTGGGTTGTGGCAGCAGGGCCCTGTTGTGGGTGCGAGTGCACATTCTCGCTTTTGCTCATGGAAAGAAGGGAAAAAAATTTAAAGAACTATTTATTAAATTCCATTTGTTGTTATTATTATTTTTTAATATGACCAGAGAGAGAGAGCGAAAGTGAGAAAGTAAGCTACCGGGTCCAGGACTCAAACCATGGTCAGCCATGTGGGAATCCAGTGCCCCCAGTCACCATACCACCTGCCAGTTCCCTGGAAGAAACAAAATTAGTAATTTTCTTAAAGAATTACTTATTTAATTTTATTTATTCATTTATTTGACTAGAGACACAGAGAGAGAGAGAGAAGGAAAGTGAGAAAGCAAGCCACTAAGTCCAGGATTCGAACCGTGGTCAGCCATGTGGAAGTG